TTAGGATCTGCCTGCCGATACACGTAGGGTACGTCTACACTAGCCCCCTAGTTCGAACTAGGAAAGCTAATGAGGGCGACCGAAATTGCAAACGAAGTGTGGGATTTAAATATCCCGCGCTTCATTAGCATGTTCCCGGGAGGGTGCCATTTTGAAACTGACTAGCCCGGAATAACTGCCCGCGTCTACATGCGGCAGTGAAACGGGAGTTCGAAATAAACCCCTTAACTCAAATTAGCTGATAAACCTCATTCCATGAGGAGTAACAGCTAATTCAGAACTCACTTTTTATGCCCTTCCAGCGTGACTGAGAGCCATTGATAAACTGCTCTCTAGGACCAGTTATCCAGCCAGCTATGAACCCATCTAATAGGTCCATCTAGGACAGGCCTGGGCAAAACACCTTCCGCAGGCCAGATCCAGCCCGCAAAGCCACCGGATCTGGCCTGTGGATGTAGCAGGGAGCCTCAAGCTGGCTCCCCTGCTTGCCCTGCCCCCACACACCACTCAGAAAAGGGGCTGTTGGGACATTTGTGTTTCACAAACTGAGCAGGGGAGAGAAGAGTGGTGCTTCATGGCTGCTCCGCCCCTAGCACAATCCCATTGGCCAGTTTCTGACCAATGGGAGCTGCCTGTTTCAAGAACAGGCAGCGTGCAAAGCTCCCCTCCAGCTCTGCAGCCTGTGCAGGGGCAGGGCAGGCTCCTGCATGAGAAACGTGCTGGGCTGATGGCTGGGAGTCTCACAGGTAAGTCTCCTGGCCAGAGCCAGCCTCTGACACCCCAGCCTTGCCCTAACCCCCTCCCCCAGCCCTCTGCCTCCCCAGTCCTGTCTCCCACCCTTACCTCACATGCCAAACACGCTGCCCTCTCCAAAGGCCATATCCTCTCCCAGACTCTGCATCCCAATCCCCTGCCCTAGGTGTCAACCCCCTCCTGCCTTAGGTCAACCAAACCCCTGCACTGTAATCCCCTGCCCTAGGTAACTACCCAAAACCCTGTACCTCCTCCTGCACCCTGGTCCCCTGCCCTAGGTCTTAGGTATCCATAAATATCATAGGAGCGATCTTGGAATTGACCATAACAAGAGCCTACCTATTGAGAGATTACATGCCATGGGCGCTTTCATACACCAGGTCATCTTAAGATGCTGGATGTCAGACAAAATGTGACTGTTCCCTCCTCGGCCACATGGCCTCATGCATGATACCATCCGTTTTCATGATATTCCTTCCTCCGGGTGTACATCCAGTGACCCTCTGGGACTGGTGCATCAGCCATCACTTGACCCTGTCTGCAGCATGTTTACCAGCATGAGGAGAACTCACCAGTGCCAGTCTCAGCAGGCACTCTTCTGCAGCTCATGAATTGGATAGTCCCAGTTCAGTCCTGAATGGGTCTTCATCCAGTGGGGAATGACATCTTGGGACCTCTTTGCTTTGTAGGTGAACAGGGAATGTACCCTGGATCGCTCTAGAAGAGCATTCAGCAAGGGCTCAAAGGCAGACACCCTTCTGTTACTGTGGAGGGGTCACTTCAGATATGCCTTCCCGTATCATGAAAGTGCGTGAGACAGCATCCTTACTGCTCCCAACAGTCTGGGGCACTTTTGTTTCATGGATCTTCTGAACCTCTCAACTAGTCTGCCCACAATCCTCTCCCCATTTCCAGACCTGCTCACACTACACACAGGCACCTGCAGGGACCCCAATGGTATTAGTCTAGACCAGGCATGTCCAAAGTCCGGCCCGCGGGCCAATTGCGGCCCGTGTTCCGGTTTAATACGGCCCCCCAGGTAATTTGGCAATATCTATCTTTTATGGCCCCCAACGAATCCATATGTATTGAGATGAATACATTGTAAAATCTCAGTTAATGTCAGTTGGTCTAAATCAGTTATAAATATATTTGGACACAACATGTATACTTGGTGTTATGTTCCTGTTCATATTTTTTGAACTTAAAAGTTGACAGACAACCTTTATTACCAATAATATATAATGTACTTTACAATGTTCCTGACATATATTTCAGCTTCCTGGATTTTTTTTTTTCATCTGGCCTTCAGATATGAAAGGCAGAGTGATTTAACACCTGTTTAGATTTGTCATCCATGTGACGAAATGAAAAGTATGCCGTTTGCAATAAACTTTGCATAAAATAGTTAATTTGCATTTAATTTTAATGGTTCAAAGAATGTCAGGCAAAATGGTCGGCCCTCACGCATGTTCACTTCATCAAATCTGGCCCTCTTTGAAAAAAGTTTGGACACCCCTGGTCTAGACCTAGTGGTGCATCAGAGATTTTACAAACCATTGCTCGTTATTATTCTGCTCTCCTCTAAATTCTCTCTTCTGTTTCCACTAGTTGTTGTTTTATTGTGGTGCCCATAGTGAGTGCAGTTCCCTAGGTGTGCAAGCAACAGCTGAGCAGAGTGGAATAACTATGTTGCTTGTGCGATATAGGTGTGTAAAAACAGTGTGTCATTTTGTCCTTTTCTTGCAAGACTACTGCATTGACTTGCGTACAGTTTATACATCTACTACAACCTTCAGACTTCCTATTAGTGGTATTATTTCAGTAGGTAGATTTTCGACTGTCTGGCTGTGTCTAGACTGGCAAGTTTTTCCGCAAAAGCAGCTGCTTTCGTGGAAAAACTTGCCAGCTGTCTACACTGGCCGCTTGTATTTCCGCAAGAGCACTGACGATCTCATGTAAGAAATCAGTGCTTCTTGTGGAAATACTATGCTGCTCCCGTTCGGGCAAAAGTCCTTTTGTGCAATAGCTTTTGCGCAAAAGGGCCAGTATAGACAGCTCAGATTTGTTTTGCACAAAAAAGCCCTGATCGCGAAAATGGCAATCGGGGCTTTTTTGCGCAAAAGCGCGTCTAGATTGGCTACGGATGCTTTTGCGCAAAAGTGCTTTTGCGGAAAAGCGTCCGTGCCAATCTAGATGCACTTTTCCGCAAATGCTTTTAACGGAAAACTTTTCCGTTAAAAGAATTTGTGGAAAATCATGCCAGTCTAGACGTAGCCTCTGTGTTTATCCCTTTGATTATTGCTTTATATTTCTTTATAGCAGGGGTTCCCAAACTTTTTGACACGGGGACCAATAAATCCATTCACGAACTTTTGGAGGACCTGTAATGTTCAATATTCTTGCCAGCAAGTTAAGGAATATGGATTGGATAAATGGACTGTAAGACAGACAGAAAGCTGTCTTTCCCAAACTTTTTACTTTAGTTAGAACCCTTTTTTTTCCCCAATACTGCTTTTTGCAGCCCAAAAATATAAACACATAAAAAACAAACTGAGAAAATACCAGACATATAACATGTCTGGTATTTTCTCATTAGGTAAGTTGTATTATTACTAGATGTATCAGTTTGTAGTTTCGAACTGCCTGGCTGGTAAATGTGCTCAGGCTGCATGAGTGTGTCTACCAGCCAGACAGTTC